ACTTGAAACTCCAGCCTCTCAGACGAGTGCTAGATCACTAGGCCATTAAATACTGTATTTTCCTGTTTCAAAAGTGAGCCAACCGTAGTAGTCCCTTGACGAGGCAGGAAGCAGGTATCCCCTCTGCCGAGGGGAATACCCAAACCACAGAGATGCGCTTTCATTTTCTCTCGCTGAGAGAGTGTCTGTGACCGTACACAATGAAAAACAGCCTCAACAGCAAAGAGTAGGGCAGATGCACCCAGATACAAAGAACAGCTTGGTACGGTCGGGCACGTTGTCGGGAGAGAAGAAACGCAGCCGTGCCCTGCGAGCTGCCTGTGGGGTATGCAAGGTTGACACCTGCACCATCTCCATCTCGTAAGCTGTGCTCAAGTTTCCCTTCGTTGTCCGTTTCCACCTAACCACATGCCTTCCATAAAGATATGTGTCATCAAAAAACCCCCTTTTCCAAGTTCAGTCATATTCTTGGTGTTTTTTTTTTCTGGGCAACTCAAAGTTTTACTTCAAAAAGAGGCAGAAGAGTATAAAATCTATTAGTAGATGTCTGCAAAATTCTGGAAAAATAATAGCTTCGCTTGAGCGGCCCGCAAGTACCAACTGAACCAACTTGCTTGCTAGCTTAATCCAAACCACTTTTTCCAATAAACTCCCATTTCATATGCTAATTTTACTCTGTAAAAATCAAATAAAGCCTGTCCTGTAGTCTTAGATAACAATATCTTGTCTCATTATTAAAGTGTGATAGAAAATAAAGTAGGTAACACTGCAAAACATTTGAAGCAACGATTTAATTTTTAAAAAAGTATCATGGTTTTAATCTTTACTATTGCTTTTACAGTGTTAAAATTTAAAGGATGTCCAGCATGCCTTCAGTCTTCCGCACATCCAGAATCTCTTCAAGAAACTCGTTTATATGAAATAGACACTTTATATTGTATTAAAACAAACACAAAAAAGACACTTTCTAAATGTCTGGAGTCACACTTCAAAACTAGCAAGTCAGGCAGTTAT